GAAAACTATTAAAAATATTCTATATTTTGAATAGCTTCAAAGTAAAATTTGAGTGAGAGAGAAATATTCAATGACCATACAGTCATCACAAATAATTATGGGAAATCCATACAGAAATTTCATTAGCAGCTATCATTATCTTGGGGAAAACATTACTGGACTGCCGCTAACCGTCAGTATCACACTCAGAATTATAGCGTAGATCACCATGTGAGGAAAATAAGCATGGCCCAGGAAACGGTAGAAGACTCTGGTGCTAGCTCTACTGCATGAATCCCCTGGGCAAACCATTTAGCCTCTTTGTGCTTTGATTTCCTTATCCATAAAGTGGTGTGATATGCCCACTGTCACAAGACTCTTGTCATTTTTGTGCTAATACATAGCGGGATTCATTATACGCTTTGAAAAATTGCCAAGTGCTGATGTAGATGAGACATCATCATCATTTTGTTCATCATTAGGTCTAGAGACATTTTTTCTTATTGGGGTTATTAACATTTTACAAGCTCAGAAAGCATCACAGAAAGCTGCATTTCTTTCCAAAGGGTGTTTTCTTTCACATAATTATGGAATGAGATACTCATTCCATAAAAGATTTCATGCTTTAGATCTCCATTTTCTCCTCTCCTCACCCCCACACTTACTTACACTCCCCCTACATTCTCAGTAAATTGGTTGTACAATCTGTCCTGGCATAGCCATTAGACAAATTCATGCCCATCAGAAATGTAAACACAAAGACTGATATTTTTATAATTACAATTAAGATTAAAGATAAAAGCAATTTATTATGAAGGGTTTTATATATCTTTCAAATTTCACTTCTAAACATTTAAAAAAATTCTTTCAGACTAATCCAAAGTTGGTGATAATCCTTGGATCATTACTTAATTTACATATCCCTGAATAGGCTGATTTAGCCCTGTAGTTTGTATCTCTCCTTTTGTTCCAGAACTACCCAAGTTAATTCCATGTACATGTGGTCAGTTAGGCTATGGGGGGTGTCCTGATTAAAATGTGGGAGAGGAAGTGTCCTAGGAAGAGTCCTGAGAGTCTGCTAGAGCACATTTTGATCATATGTCCCATGAGTAACAGCTATGTGAGCACACTCCCACACAGGTATAATTTTCAATTTATGAATTAGGTAATATTAATCTGTATTAATATATTACATATATTATAGAATATATGTAGTCTGCAAATAAAAGCCAGATAAAATATTGTGAAAATAAAATTTAACTTTACCTTTATTAATGGTATGTCAAACCTTTTTTTCCCCTCAAATTATAGAGATTTGATGTCTACATAGTTGTTTATAAATGCCTTGTAAATTAACCTAGCATTATAGAATCATTTGCTAATATTGAAAAGTATAACAAACACTAGGGCTAGATTCATTAGTTATAATAATTATGTATATCTACATTTCAAATAGTCATCTTGAAAAAAATTGATTGGCTCAGCATTAATTTATTTTCTTAGTATGGCTGAAAAGGCTCTCCTTTGAGGAGTAGGAGAAAAATCATTATGGCATTTTCTTTATTTTTTAAAAAAATTATTCTTGCCTTATAAATATTGTCATCAATCCAGTTTCTTTCCAAGAATCTTTTAAAGCTATTGGTCCACTAGTGATTATTAAACTAGATGATATAGTCTACAAATCTACTTCCCACCAGAGAAAACAGCAACATGTTGTGATACTCAGAAAACACAAGAGCAAAGATGTCATCATTATCCTTCAAAACAGTAGAGTTCAGACTGAAATGTCAGCTGAGTAAAGTACCTACTTACTAAATATTAGCAAAGTTTAAGCTTATTATTAAAGATAAAAATAGATATAAATAAGAGTCTTTAAAAATATGTATATATATTTTTTATAAACACATATACATAAACACATATACACTCAGAACTGTGCATGCGTGTCCACTTCAATTTGGAGACTACTGTAGTAGATCCCTTTGAGGTTCATCTGGGTCCCCAGTGAGCCCTGGGCCAGCATGGGTTATGCAGAGTGAACAGAGGAGTATAAGTGGACAGAACTCTGGTCTTCCCACCTGGCTGCAATGAAAGACCTCCAAGTTCATTTATATTATATTTTAAATACTGACCTTTCTGATAAATTTCATTGGAATAAAGAATTACACAGCTAAAACATGGTTGAAACTTTCCTCTGGAGACTCTAGAAGCCCATGATCCACAGTCTGACAAATGCTTGAAACTGAACACTGAACAGTAAAGTTGCAAAGATAGTCTTTTGCTAAAGAGCTACATATACCAGTTTTTAAAGTTCCTCGGTTTTCGGGTTGATGGGGGGTGGGAGGGAGGGGAGGGTGGGTGATGGGTATTGAGGAGGGCACCTTTTGGGATGAGCACTGGGTGTTGTATGGAAACCAATTTGACAATAAATTTCATATATTGAAAAAAAAAATAAAGTTCCTCGGTTTTCTGTTTCTTAAACTCTTTCTTACATGCAAAATCACAGCCTTAGATCTAAAAGAGAAAATACTTTAACCAAACATGGTACAAACATTTTGAATACAATTAAATGCTAAGTAAAAAACATTGGTTAAAAAATGCATTCACCTCTTTCCTTGATTGAGATATTAAGTAAAAAGTTTTCAACAGATCACATTAAAGCAAAGCTTAAAAAAGGATATGGTTCTTGCAATATTTCAGTGAATTTAATCTTGCTTTGTTTAGGGGCCTTGGAAATACCAGCTAACTCATGCATCTTAAGATAATATAAAATCAGTGGACTCTGACCTCCAAAATTGAACAGTACACGGTTAAACTCTGGACCAGTGCTACTATAATGGGACTGTAAAGGAGAAAAAAAAATCAAGTTAATTATTACTTTTATGTATTTTTAAAGAGCTATAAATAAATATAACTGTATTATAACTATGAATATACTTATTATCTGGTATATTAAAATAAATAAAAAGAAATTCCGCAAAGCACCTTCTTAATGAAAGAAATTTATTACAGTATGAGTCTATGAGTTTGTGCAGTAAGGCTCTTCTAGCTTTTTTATTTATCAGCTTGATAAATAGGTCAATAGACATTATTTTGTCTGAAGAACAGAAAGAAAAAAGAAAGAGGAAAATGAACAGAGCTCCAGAAAAAGGGACAGGAACAAATATGAAGACAAAAATGACCAAAACCTCCAAACTTTTGTGAAAAACATATCCAAGAAGCTTAACTCCAAGTAGGAAAAATACTCACCTAGACACATCATACTCAAAGTGCTGAAAGACCAAGACAAAAAGAAATTTCAAAAGCAGCAAGAGAAAAACAACATATAAGGGAATCCCAATAAGGTTTAAAGCTGAATTTTTATCAGAACAAAGGAGGCCAGAAGGCATGTGGATAACATAATCGAAGTGCTAATGGAAAAAAAACTGTCCATGAATTCTCTGTCATAAATATAATTGCTCCAAGATTTTATTACTGACTTCTTGTGGGATATAAGGTCAGTATAGCAACAATTCATACATTAAGTCTTTCCTCCCTTTTTGTAATGTCTAGATGTGAGATTTATTATTGATTCCACTTCCTGTGAGGAAATAAGATTTTATGCTCATTTGCTTTTACTGATACATACAGTTCTCTTGTGTTTCTTTTGCTTATGGTCACTTTTTCATTGCTTTCCTTCAGAGATGCTCCAGAATTTTTTTGAATAGTGGGACTATCATAATCAAAAGCAATTCTCTGATGGTGAAAACTCAGTGTCAAAATCAGACATGTCTTCTATGATGTAAATCATTTACTTCGTCTCAATCTCCCATGGAAATTCACAAAAGGTTATATCTAGCCTGATCTTTAAATTGCATACAAAACCAGGACAAGCTTTGTCTAGATAAAAAGGAAATACTACCTATCTAGAAAGAAAGATGTTTCATGACCTTTTCCCCAGCTTCTGCCTTGGATACTGTAAGACAGAAACTTGATCTTACTGAAATTCAAGACATAGACATTTGTTATTTTTTTCCACAGTTCTCCTTTTTTTACATAGGAAAACCACAGTTAATACCTACTTCTTCCATAGAAGGACCACTGATTTTTAAGGGCAGTTCGACTCAATAATAGCAGAACTAGGCATTAAGTGTATATCCAGTGTTTTGTGGAGCCTTAGCCATTTTCTTAGATACTTTAAAGCAGAAGGTTTGAAGTGGTGCAAAGAACACCTAGAGATATTCCAAATAGCCAAAACAATTATCAGGAGCCTCACTACTTCCATCTGCCCCACAAAAGATCATGGTAGAAAATTATCAGACAACTTTAAGGTCCCATAAAACAAGACCTATATAGTCAAGAGTCAACTTAGTACTAAATCTTAGAACCAAGCAACCCCATAAACTTTGAAAGAGTCACAGGAGATGAGCTAGAAGGAGGATTTTGGTGCTTCATTGTTTTGTTAAGTTATTAAAGGATAATTGCTGTCGATGACTAGAAAGGTAAACTTTGACTTTTGAGGTTTGAATGTGCATTCTGCCGATGCTCATATGGGTATTCGGAAGCCACAGGCACCCATTCAGCATCTGGACAACCCTGGTGCTTAGAAAATTCTTTATGTTGCACTGAAAACTGTCTCCCTATAGTTTTCACTTACCAGTAAATGTAAGAACTTTGTGGTTTGTATTGGTAAAACAATTATTTTGAGCCACACAGAAAAAGCCTAATCCTGCTTTCCTACAGTAGCTCTCTACATATTTGAAAACAGTTATTACAACCACCAGAGTCTTGTCTTTTCTTTTTTTTTTTTTAATTTTTTTTTCAACATTTATTTATTTTTGGGACAGAGAGAGACAGAGCATGAACGGGGGAGGGGCAGAGAGAGAGGGAGACACAGAATTGGAAACAAGCTCCAGGCTCTGAGCCATCAGCCCAGAGCCCGACGCGGGGCTCGAACTCACGGACCGCGAGATCGTGACCTGGCTGAAGTCGGACGCTTAACCGACTGCGCCACCCAGGCGCCCCGAGTCTTTTCTTTTCTAATGGAAATGCCTTTAAATATTTTGGTCACTGCTCAAATATACCATTAATTATATAATTATAGCCCTTAATTATCCTGATTATTTTCTATTCAGAACTCTTTTGTTTGTCTACACCCTTTTATAATGCAGGACTCCCAAATGAACATAATACACAATAATTGTGTAATCAACATAGAGTAGATCCTATATGTCTGTTTAAAAAGTTCAAGAATGCAGTAAGATTTGGGAGTCAACAGTGTGTTGATACATACAGAGATTACTGTAAAAAATAATTTCCAAATCTTTTCAGATGCCTCTAACCCAAGGCTTTATTATCCTATACTTATGCAGCTGTAATTTTGGACCTTTATACTTTTTTCATAATAAAAATTTATCTTCTAAGATTAGGCCTACTACTCAACTGTTGTAAGCTTTTAGTCATCCAACGTATTCATCGTTCTTCCAAGGTTTATGACTTCTAAATATCTAATAAAAATGGCAACCATGTTTTTATCCAAGTTGTTGATAAAATAGTCTGCAGAGGACAGGGCCAATGATGCAGCAATGTGGTGTATTACCAGAGATGGATCTGCAGTTTGCTTTCCATCTTTTAACAGTGTCATCTGAAAAAGTTTGTTCAGTCAGTTAGAAATCCACCTGTCCATATTTCTTCAACTTGTAAATAAGGTGTAAAAGGCCATTTATAGTGATTACTGAAGATCAGATATACAGCCTCTATTACATTTCCTGATTTATAAATACAGCAATATTGTACGTGTCCCCACCCAACCCTAATGGTGTGATATTGTCATTGATCCTAAATTGACTCCTAGAGATCACCAGTTTCTATTCTAAGTACTTACAAACCACCCTTGGCAGCACTGTAAAGGTTAGAAAACATTTTAGTTATCTGGATTATTAAAGATAGGGAAATATATTAAGTATTGACTTCAGAAAGCGGTTTGTATATAGGCATAATTTAAAATTTATGGTCAGACTTGACTAGACAATTCAGACAAAATTTTAGCAATTAAGACTGCAATCAATTTAAAACCTATTTGTCTAATAAGAGATCAAATTCAGAATTTCAAGCCTGTAACCTCATCAAATCTTGGCTAAAGCAACACAAGGTGGCCAAGTCCCTGAGGGTCTCTATTAGGGAGGAACCACCAGAAACGTGCAAAAACTAAGTACCCACACCTTATCAGTAACACTACACACATATGGCCAGTTATTCCAGAGCCATGGCTTCAGAGGAGTTTGATGAAAACTCTTGTGACATTTTCCCTGCAATTTTGACTAGAACTTACTGAGATCATAGTTGAGATCAATGTTTGTATATCAACCCAAGGAAAAGCAGTGCCAGAAGTGTGGGAAAAGATGAATTTTATGTGGTTTTTCGTTCATTAGAGATGAGGATATTTTATTTTAAAAATTTTTTAAAGTTTATTTATTTATTTTGAGAGAGAGGGAGAGAGAGAATCCCAAGCAGGTTCCGCCTGTCAGCACAGAGACAAACACAGGGCTCAATCCCATAAACTGTAAGATCATGACCTGAGCTGAAATCAAGAGTCAGATGCTTAACCAACTGAGCCACCCAGGCACACAGAGGATATTTTCAAAAAACAATAAAACATTTAAAAAAAAAATTTTTTTTTTAACGTTTATTTATTTTTGAGACAGAGAGAGACAGAGCATGAACAGGGGAGGGGCAGAGAGAGAGAGGGAGACACAGAATCGGAAACAGGCTCCAGGCTCTGAGCCATCAGCCCAGAGCCCGACGCGGGGCTCGAACTCACAGACCGTGAGATCGTGACCTGAGCCGAAGTCGGATGCTTAACCGACTGAGCCACCCAGGCGCCCCAAAAAACAATAAAACATTTTAACATTAAGATTAACCTCTCTGGTAAATCACTTTGATCATTAAATTTTTCTAAAATATATATCAGGAGTGTAACAATGAACACTGTCTATATGAAGCTGTTAAACTAAGCAAATTAAAGAAGTCAGAACATTTTGGGGGGGCGCCTGGGTGGTTCAGTAGGTTGGGCGTCTGACTTCAGCTCAGGTCATGATCTCATGATTTGTGAGTTCCATCTCCATGTCGGGCTCTGTGCTGACAGCTCGGAGGCTGAAGCCTGCTTCGGATTCTGTGTCTCCCACACTCTCTGCCCCTTCCCTGCTTGTGCTCTGTTTCTTTCTCTGTCTCTCTTTCAAAAATAAACATTAAAAAAAAAAAGTAAGAACATTTTTTATAATTATTATGCTCCAAACCTTTGTTGTTAGACTTGATACACTTGATTCTTCCTTGAATGTGGGCATTGTGTATGCTCTTGGGTTCTTTAAAATTTTCATCATATTGAAGTCTATCGCTAAAAGAGAAAATAAAATATTTTCCTAAATATTCTGTTTTTGTTTCTTTAAAAAAAAGCGTAATTTTCTTCTAGCAATGTGCCCTAAACATGGAAAGAGCCACGGATGGATGGATGAGAGAGGAGGTTAGGATATTGTTATAGCTTGCCTCAGTTAGAGGAAATAAATATACCATCTCATTTTTACTTAACAGGGCTTTAGAATTGATAAAACTCATTCACTTACATTATCTCTTTCATTTCACTGTCACAAACCATTCTGTGAGATAAGTAAGATTTTCCACAATTTACAGAGGGGATAATTAAGTGCAGGAAGTTGTATGACTCTAAGCTATAGCTCTAAGCTATCATTTAAGACACAGGCCTAGGTCTTTTGCTTTAGGGTCTGGGGCTGTCCATGACCCTCTAGTTTAATGCAATAGGAGGCTTGGGCTTCTGCATGTCAGGGTCCACCTTTTCCATCTATTGCCAACAAATCCAAATAAGGAAAGATTTGGTAAGTTTCCCCTGCAACCAGCATGAAGATACATGAAGATAACAAGGAAATCTTGCCATGTTTTAAAGAAAAGGAGAATTGTAGTTTAATCAGCAGTTCAATCAGCCTAAAAGAACAAGCTAGTTATTAAGGATACCTTAACACAGAACAGAGAAAACAAGTAATCTGAGGTTTGTACCAGCTTCTGACGTGATTGTTATTATCAATTACCAGGTAGACTAATTGGATCTACAGATTATAATGTTGATGATATAGCTCTGAAGAGTTAAGGAAAGTCACCTGGATTGATTTTTTACATCAGACGTTAAAAGATATTAATATCAGCCTGAAATGCTAGAGGCAAGTAGGCATTTGTCTCTGGCAGAGTAAAGAATGAGTTAGGAAGGAACTAGCATTTTAGAATTTTGAGTGGAACCAGGTTTAGATTAAGTTGGAGTTAGAATGGGCAAGAAAGGTAATAAAGCATATAAATTTATTTCTTTTAAAACCTGCTCAAAAGCAAACAACCCCTTATGGAGGGACATCTGGCAGTATCTACAAAAATACAGACATATTTTCTCTTTGACCCAGCAATCACTTTTCTGAGACTATGTCGTACACAGTCTCCTCCACAGTATGAAAGAACACATGTACAAGTTTATTGATTGTGGTGTAATTTATAAAATTTAGGGTTTATAAATAGCCCATGTATTTAATAGCAGTCAAGTACTAGTTAAATAAACTAAGGCACCCGATTTGATGGAACACTATGCAGTTGTAAGAAGAAATGAGGAAGATCCCTATACTGATAAGAAGAGATCTATAGGTCATATCATTAAGTGATGAAGGCAATGTGTAGAGCAGAGTATATTATTTGACGATATATACCTTTAGTATAAAAGGGAGAATGTAAAAGTATATTGTATTTGCCTTCATTTGTCTAAAGAAACAAGATAAATAAAAAACCAATACAAATATTCCCTGAGAGGGATAATTATAAAAATAAAACTTTCTCCATTTTGAATCATCCTTAAATACATAATTATATAATACATAATTCCTAGTCTGTATGAACAGATATAATATTAATAATATAAGGATCTCTACTTCATGTCTATTGTACCTACAATAAAAACCTTACTTTTGAGAATACTTAACTTTGGTTGTAAAATTAATCAATAGAAGGTCATATACATTAATATCAGGCAAAAATCTTAAGCTGGGAATAATAGCAAAAGACAAAAAAGTAAGAACTAAATAAAAAACACAAAGCAAGGAAATTTTAGGAGTGACAGAGTAAAAAAAATTTCAGAAAATTCTACAAAAATGAAAAATTCCACCAGGATATGATATAAGTAATCTTAAAATGACTATATTTATTAGCTTTTTTCTCCTATAGTCCCCTAATCCATAATTTATTTTAGGTGAAAATATTAATTTTCCCTGATTATAGTTTTCATATATCCTCTGTTCTCATATCCCTAAAAGCTTGAGAAGATCATTTGAAAAACCAAAAATAATCCTATTTGATAAAACCATAAGAAAATGTCTCATCTATTCTTACTAGTCTTCAGAAATTTCACTAGTGACAAAATATTCCAGTCTTACTCCACTTACATTGGAAAAAATTCAATTCCACAACTATCCCCTATTTATTTTAGGAATGTTTAAAAGGGAGACACTTATGCAAGTAAGTATGGTTATCTTTATCCACCTTTGTAGTTTTTACTTTAGTATTAGTAGTCTTTCTGAGATGCAAATAATCCCCATAATTTGGCGAAATTAAACTTCATGCATATATCAATACAATTAGTGAATAGAGAAACACACAAAAAAAAGCATTACTCAGAGATCCATTTATATCTAAGTTAAACTAGAATTGCTCTTGGAGAGTTTCATCTAGTGTTGAAGTGTAAGGGGAAACAAAGGAAAGAGAAAACACAAGTAGTCATGCAAAATAGATGTGATCTGAGCAAATAAGAAATAAAACAAATACAATTTTGTTTTAGTAATATAGGAAAATGATACAGTTATTTCAAAGCAAGTACTGCACACCCATGAGTATGTCCTTACTGCTTTATTGCATATGTTTTTTTATCATGATTCCCAGATTTTTTTCAGATCCTATACATATAATTCTCCAAGTCCCTTCAGTCCTACCATTTGCAGGCCCAGTCATTGGTTTGTTTACATATTAGACGTCAAACAAGTTACATCTGTCTACTTAGCTACATACAGAATCATCTTCCCCCTTCTCTATATATGATTTGTTTTAAATTGGCAAAATGAAGCATTAAGGACTTCTTCACAATGTTCTAAAGTACAATTAACTTTCTTCTCCTAGTAATGTTAATCTAACATACATAATTATAAATAATCTCACAGAGAGGTTAGAGAGTTCAAGTATAAATGCACTTTGTTAATTATGAAGTGCTATATGCATGTAAGTAGGCTACCTCTAGCATCCTTGGGTTTCACCAAGTTTGAACTAAATTTAGTATATCCAAGAACATCAAGATTTTATGTGTAATATATAATAGTGATTCATATCACATTTGTTTCCCAAGGAAAATACAGTATTATTCCTTTATTTTGGCTTGGGAAGTTATTTCTTTCTATTACTGCTTACTAGGTATTATATCTGTGTCTTTAAGAACTAAATCTCATATTATTACTTAGACAAGTTATAGGTGCAAAACACAAGTGATTAGTTTTTAAATATTTCTATAGTTTTTGTGTAAAGAGCTAAGTGGCAAGTATCTGAAATAAAGAACTAGTGTATTTATGAACTAAGGCACTGTGGAGCCACACATTACAAATGTAAAACAAAATAGCTTTTAAGCTTGACTTGATCAAAGATGTTGTTGAAGGAAATTCGATCCATTTTAAGTCTTTCCTGTAGAATATAAAACATTAAAAAAACTAACAACTAAATGAGTTCTGAAGCAAAAATTAGGACATACTGTCTGGGAAATTCCTTTTTCCTATATCATATGTAAATTTATCTACATAAGAACATTAAAAATGAAACAAAAATTAAGACTAATTTCATTGCACACAGTAATATAAACTATAATGGTTGAAAATAATAAAATTAAAAGGAATTGGGATTACTTTTATTTTATAACCAAGCCTTGACAGTCTTGCCTGGTGTCATATAAATTCTTTACATTCTTGAGATTAGTGATTACATGAACTTATCACTGATGGGTTCTATGTTGAAACCATGTTCCCATATCTAAAAATGTTCTACAAAAGAGAAGGCCAGAGCACAGACTTTTGTGGCCACTATCCAGAGGACACATCCCTTGATAGCATGGTTCTGGTAGCTAGCAGGGCTTGTGTTCATGAGTTCAGTAGGACAGTAGCAAACAAAGAAATAGTTCTTAATAGACTATCGCCCCAGGGCTCAAGGCAGAGAGAACAGACAGAAATTTCCATCTCCTAATTTTCTCCTGAAAGAGATTTATTTGCATATTTTCAAAGTTGCTGTCTGAGGGTCTTGCTTCCACTCAGCTTGAATCTAAATGTTGACTGAGATCCTTCCCTTTGGGAAACGGACAGTTCTTGACATACCCTCAACTACTGGAAACCACTTTGTTCTTAAACAAAGTAGCCTATTTTAACAAATCACAAAGGTTTGAGAGAAACCAAGAGGTAGGGCCAGGAAAGGCCACTCCTTCAAGACTGGGAAAGTGGCTGTTTTATTGAATGCATTGAAACCAACACAGAGTCCAAGAAAATGAAAACAACATAAGAATATGTTCCAAATTACAGAACAAGTTAAAACCTCAGAGAAATTTTTTAACAAAATAGAAGTAAGTGGTATCAAGTATCTTTACTTGATAAAGAATTCAAAGTAAGTCATAAAGGTGTTCACTGAGGTCAGAACAATGCAAGAACAAAGTGAGAATTTCAACAGAGAGATAGAAAATATAAGAAAGTACAAAACAAATATTACAGAGCAAAGAATATAATAATGGAACTGAAAAATACAATAGAAGCGTTCAATAAAAGAGTGCCTGGGTGGCTTAGTTGGTTAAGCATCCAACTTTGGCTCAGGTCATGGTCTCATGGTTCATAAGTTCGAGCCCCATATCAGGCTCTGTGCTGACAGCTCAGACAGAGCCTGGGGCCTGCTTCCAATTCTGTGTCTCCCTCTTTCTGCTCCTCCCTCACTCTCTCTCTCTCTCTCTCTCTCTCTCTCTCTCAAAAATAAACATTAAAACAAATTTTTTAAAAAAGAAGGGTTCAATAGAAGCACTATAGGACATGGAGGAAAGGATCAGCAAATGTGAAAACAAGACAGTGGAATCATCCAATAAGAGCAGTAAAGAAGAGAAAGATGAAGAACATGGAGGAGGAGGGAAAGAAGGAGAAGAGGGGAGAAGAGGAGAAGGAAAAGAGGAAGAAGCAAAAAGAATAAAGATAGCTTAAAAGACTTATGAGGCAACCTCAAGCAGATCATATATTTGCATTATAGGGGACCCTGAAGGAGAAATGAGAAAGGGTCAGAAAACTTACT